AAGTGGAGAGGTACATGAAAACAGACATTTCCAAAAATATATATTCATACACAAAAAAGGTTGTGCCACATGATGGCATATTCCCCGTTAATACTCCATCAAAATGCTTTCAACAATTTTCTATTTTTCTTCCGCAAGCAAAGACAATCTTAAGTACATATTAAACTATAAAGCAATCTGTCTCAAATTGAGCGTATGGGCTAATGAAAAAGGAGGCGGCTGATTTAACAGATAAATCAGGAGTTGGCCCAGTGGCGACTGAACGAGATCAAGTGCACTGGCACAGGGTTAGCCGCAGTTCTGAGAGGAAAGTGGTGACAGAGTCCCCACAGTCACCTGGCACACCATGGACTACGAGTGCAAAACTCAAAAACCTGCAGTGAATGACATATATTCAAAATTACTTGTTGCAACATTATATATAATTGCAAGCAACCAAAATGCCTGTCACTCGGGGACTGGTTAAATAAATTAATGTATGTATTCTCAATGCAGCTGCAAATAAGAAAGAGGAAGCTCTCTGAACTGAGATGGAAAGATCTCCAATTGCTAAGTGGAAAAAGCACAGGGCATGTCAGTGTGTAATTGCCTGAATGCACATAGAGAAATTCTAGAAGGGCACAGCAGGAACTAAAAACTGGTTATCTGATTTGGAGAGATGGGAAGAGAGAGCTGGGTAGGCAGTGCTCGAAGGGCAGTGCTTCTCTGAACATCTTTTATTAGTGATTTATTTTTGAATCATATGAATACACATCAGTTCAAAAATTAAATTAAAAAAATCCGAGTGTATGGGCCGGCCGAGTGGCTCAATTGGTTAAGAGCTCGCTCAAGAGTGTGAGCTCTGAGCAACAGCGGTTCGATGCCCGGCCTGAACTGAGCAGCCGCTGAGCTGCCAACAGGTGGCAGGATGGTTCAGCTTTAAAAAAAAAAAAAAATCCAAGTGTAACCACCCCATTTCCATGTTACAAATAATACAGTTTCGTCTATTACATTCAATTCATGTTGTTCATTTGAATTTTGTTAGTTTTAAAGGATTTTTGTATTTAATCCCTAAATTTGTTTTGCTTTTACGGTTGTGTAAGAATAATAAACATTTAATTTAATTTTATATTTATGTATAGTTTCATTATAATAGAAAATTTAACACTGGGAACCTATACATTTTTTTTTCCTTTTAAAAGAGACTCATATATCATTCAAATTCAAGATACTGTTATATAAGAGAAAAAAATAATTTCAGAGCAAAATCACTCATTTATTCATATAACAACATGAATATATATTTATGACACCTGCTTCTATTCCACTGACACATTTATGATTTAAACCCTAAATAAGATGGTTACAATAAAAGCATGGTTTGAATCAAACTCTTAATTTTGTTATGTTTTAAGTTCCAGCAAGGTGCATCTTTTCCACAGAATTTAATAATTGTTTTAGCCAATGCACAATTCCTTGACGAACACTTGAACACTCTCTCCCACCCCTTCCGCTTCCCCAGCCGAGGCTGCCTTCAGNTTAAACTGAAGGGTAGGTGGGGTGAGGGGTTGATTCTCCGAACTACAAAAGCAGCCTTCACTAAAAAGGGACTACAAGCCTCTAAGAAATAGAAAACAAAGGCAGTTGAGTTTTCAAGAATAAATCAAGGACTTCAAAAAAAGAAGGGCAGTGAATTATTTTCTATCTAAGCTTTATTTAAACATTTGCATATTTAAACAAGGATGTGACTTACGGGTGAAAGATTTCCCATCATTAAAAAGGCAGTGAGTGTTGAGTCAAACAGGAACGCGATACGCTTTGTGTATCCTGTAGACAAACTCAAACTGCTTACACTGGCTGTGTCAGCTGGAAAGCAAAATCACACTTTAAATCAAGTAAATGAAAATTTGTCTTTGTTTATCATTAGGAATGAGAAACTATTTCATTTTGGCTTTATTAATAACCAGAAAGTGCACAATTAAAAATAAGCAATAGTGGCATTAGAAGAGGTCCCAAGTCCTACCTATCTCCAATACAGAGAGAGTTGAAAAAAAAATTTTAAGGCACTCACTTTTGTAGTAAATGTCCTGAAAAACCAGTAATAAACCAAGACTTGATAACTGTCAGATCAAAAAGACTAACCAGCCTACCCTCTTCAGACAAGTCACCTGGCTCAGGTACCAGAGCTACTCGGGGTAGGAATGGGAGCTGACACTGGGCTCCTCTCCTCCCTCCACACAAAGCCACACGCAGCTACCTCGTCCTCTATGCTTTGCCTCCTTTCGTGCTTGGTCCATGCTATGGGCTTCCCTCGGTCTCCAGCTCACCAGCTCTTACTCATCCTTAGCCCACACAGCACCTCCTCCAGGAAGGCTTCCTGAACCTCTCTAGGCAGTTAGGGGGCCTCTTCCTCTTTGCTCTCCACAAGCACTGCGACACTTCTCACATTGTTGAGGTTTTTGTGGTCACGCCACCTTCTCTCACCTTAGACTTAATTGGTCAAAGGAAGGTACCACATCCTTGTCAGTTTTATATCCTTACGACCGAGCACAGTGCCCAACATCCTAGTGAGTACTCAAAGGCTGCACACTGAACGAACAAAATCTAGCAGAGAGCTATACAGTAACCAAGTCTAGAGAGTTCACTCTATGAGTGTCTGTGCAGACACATGTGTATCTACAGAGAAGCTCCAATTGAACCGAGCGGCTGCTAACCTGGGTCTTCTTGACTGTTTGTGTCGGTGTCGGTAGCCGACGAAGCTTCTTGTACAGGACTCCTCCTTTCCCCGCCATCCCATGAGAGGAGCATCTTTTGTGGATCTAAAGTACTCCTGTTAACGAAGAAATCATTCACTTCTTAAAAATCGTATAAATGATCTTACAGAAAAGTAGCTACTGAGGTCAGTACTTAAATTATGAACATCCAGTCATGAACATGACTAAGTCCAGCCACATTCAAGCCTGAAATTGAGAGGTAGTCCAGAAATGCTCTGCCCNACTAAGAAACTGATGGTTTTGGACTAGAAAATAGAACATTCAGGTAAATGAAGAGAATGAGTGGAATTAACGTTATAGTGGTGCTAAAAATTCATGACATCCCAAGACGCAACTCTTGTGACTGTCCAAGGACTTGAGCCAAATGCTCTTACACTGGTGCTCACACCACTGCTCTTTTTAAAAACACACATTCCTGGGTGCCATCCCACAACTCAGAACCTACTGAGTCAGAACCTGAAATTCTGATGATACCATCAGTTCCACTAACGTTTGCAAACTCCCTATCTATCCCCAAACCGAGATGCACACTAAGGCAACAGCCATGGTGGAGTACACCAATGGATTAAAATGGCTACTTCTTTCTTTTACTCGTTTTACTTTTTAAAGTAAAATACTTCAGTAAATATTCCAGCGGCATTTGAATAGAAAGCTATTTATTATTTTTATACAACGGACTATTTCATTCTTGAAGTTTTACGTTTTTTAAGTTAACTAAATTTTGACATTTGTTCACCCTTCTGAACTGATACCTGTTCTCAATTCCACTCAGCTATTTAAACAAATTAACACACCAACCCTTTTTATAGGTACTAATTAGATTTAAATACTACAAATGTCAGTAGCCTCTAAGAAGGAGAAAAAATAAGAAACAGTTGACAAGCAAAGAAATAATTCGCAAAAGAAGCTCTAGTTAAAAAATTCAATATGCTGGCTATACAAAATGTATTAAGTATATGATGATTAAATAAGTGAGCATGACCTGTTTCTTAGAAAGAAGTTCCACAGGATTATATTTTCAAAATCTAGTATATTTATCATACCATAACTGGGTTGGTCTGGCTGTGCAGTTTGTGCAACCAGATCTTTATTATGACGAAGAAACAGTATTGTGTTTCTCAGAGTCAGTGCGTGGTCAAAATATCTCTGTGCTTCTCCTTCGCCAGTGCTCTGAACCTAAACCAAAAGAAAATACATTTTGCAACACATACTATAATCATAACAGTCATCCTAATATATAACCATACAATAGATTTATTAAGATATTATTTTTATAAGACTAATAATAGACTCTTCAGTGGATGCCAAAACCATCGGGTGAAATGCTGGGTGTACAATATTGACACAGTTCCAAAGTATCACTCTAGACATTTTTTAAAAACTAATTTAATATTTTTCAGGGGGCCAGATGGACTCAGGTCTTGTTAGGGAGACTACTTCATGGTCGGTATAGAGTCCTGACCACCGCACTGTATTTCTGAAGCTGATGTTGAATAATATTGTATGTCAACTGTAATTGTATATACATATAGTCACAGGATGTGGAGTATGGGAATGGAGTCAATGGAATTGTAATAGATAAGTATGATATCGGGGGTGGGAGGGCAGTGGATGGGGGAGAGGGTTGTTACTTTGTGAGGGGTGAAAAGGATAACTATTGCATTGTTTTGTACACCTGAAACTAATAAAAAAATAATAATAATTTTAAAAAAGATATTATTTTTAAAAATCAGTAAATAAAAAATTTGCCCAGGCAATACTACAACAAATTCTTAACCTCAATCTCGATTGAATTTCCACTTGACTACATCTTTGAAGATAATAAAAATTAACCCAACAAAGAAAACTAACTATTTCAGCAACCAAATGCTAAATCACACCATTATATAAGTTATATGTCCCATGTATGATTCCAATAAGTGCTTAAAATACTCTAAGATCTATATAGTCTGCTTCATCCAGAAAGGTACTTCAACCCATGGTTACCAATTATGCTTCTAATTCTCATCAAGCTATTTACCATTGTTGAACATACAGCTTAAATTCATTCAACAAGGATTCACTCAGTCCCTATTACGCTATAATCTGCCTAGGATGTGAGGATAGAGTACTGAACAAAACCCCTTCCTTCCCTGGGCTTACACTTTATTACATGCTCTTTTGACCCTAAAGTCAGTCACCTGTTTAATATATGAACATATATACGTATATTCCAGAAACAACGCAGAAAATGGAAGGACTGGTCTACAGGGGGTAACAACTAAATCAGATTTGCATTAAATTAATAAGACCAGATGACTAAGTTTAATCAACATGAAGCGTCTTAAAAAGTAGCTAAGAAATTATTTTTAAAAACTACACTTCAGGCTCAAAGGCTTTCCCAGGAATGACTATGTGGTAAGAAAGAATACAGATATATAAAGAGTCGAAGTGATCTTCCAACTTGCTGTATTTGATAAAAGCCTAGTTGGGGTGAAAAAAATAAAATCAGGAGAACAGAACTTAAATGTGCTAGAAAAGTGTGCTAGAACATAATAAAAAATTTACTGGCAAAAGATGATACACAATAAGAAATGGGGTTAACAGGGTAGTAAAAGTATTGAGGGAATAATGGAAATTTAAAAATAAAAGAGAACAATAACAAGGATTATCTCAAACATATTTCTACCCTAAAAAAGTAAGAATCCCATGGAGAAGGAGCATGAAAAAAATGTATGGTAGTTTTTTTTTAAAATATGAAGAAATTACAAACATCATCAAAAGTTCTCTAACCAGCACATTTAATACACAGAGTTCATCACTAAAGCATAAAAGGTACCAAAATTATTAGTCAATGAACAGATTAAGCACACGAACTATCTGCATGAAGAGCAGAGGGCAGAATATCTGGGGAGTGAAAAATACCACAACGCATCAAGATAGAGCTAAGGGAGATTCCTTCCGCGCCCACGGAGGGCAAGTGGTTAAGAACAAATATGGCTCAAGTCTTCACGATGCTAAAAGGGACAGTGAAGAGTGGACATAAACGTAATACCCAGGACATTGTCCCAGATTTAAGAAAGGTGGAACAAGAACTTCTAATAAAACTGTTTAAGAGGAGATCTTAGAGTTATACCAAAAAGTATAAAATAAAAATGAAAGGCTATTTTAGAAAAATGAAATTTAAAAAATTACACTAGACTAAGATCTCTACACCCAATTTCTTCATCATATCAAGTTATGCTGAGTTAGATGAGATACACAAATCATTTTTAAAAACACAGAATTCATTCATCCACTCAAGATGTTTAAGTCTAAACGACTGCCACAGTATTCAGATGGGGAATAATGTAGGAATGAACAAAAATATACCATTAATCTACATAATCAGTAACTGATGNTAAAAGATGGAGGCACGGCACAAAGAGTCAGCTTGAAGGAAATCCCCTTGGCAAAATCTGCGGTAGCTAGAGCACTAAAATAAGACACAGGAATGACTTATTATAAACCACTGAAAAAGTAGGAATTCATAAATCCATACTGAGACTATAAAAGAATGCCTAGTCCCAACTGTCAAACATGGAAAAAGTGCTAGAACTGGGAAAAATGATCAATTTGCAACCATCACAGTAAAGAATGGCTCAGGCAAGAATCATCAATGGAAGCCAAACCTAGGAGGAAACATTGATGAGAAGTAGGATATTTGCATCGTCGTAAAGTATTGCTTATTAGTTGTGGGAGTAAAATAGTTAACTATACAGTACAGAAATCAGAAAACACATTAACATCACCAGTGGGGAGCAGGTGGAAATCACATGCCTGCAGATGCCATACCCGCAGAAAGACACAGCATTACTTATATAATATTCAGAACGTGACTGCATAACCTGAATCTAATCACGAGGAAACATCACACACACCCAAGGTGAGAAACTTTCTATAAAACCAACAAAAAGCGACTATACTCTTAAAAAATAAGAATGTCATAAAAGACAAACAACGGTTATGGATTTTCCAGAATAAAGGAGATAAAACAGACTTGACAATGCAATGCAGTATCTGGTCTTAAACCACATCTTGTCCTTGAGGGGGGAAGTGTTATTAAGAACATTATTGGGTCAATGATAAATTGGAATACAATTGGTAGGTTACTGTATCAATATTAAATCTCCTGGAGTTGATGTAAGGAAATAGCCCTATTCTTAAGAAATATACCCTGAATTAAATTATATGAAAATTACTCCCAAATTTTGGATTAAAAGTAATTATACTATTTTTATTCTCACAAATGTTCTATAAATTTAAATATTTCCAAATAACATGTTAAAAGAAAAATCTAGAGTCTGTGATTTAATGGAGGAAAGGGTCGTGCAGATGTCAGGAAGAGCACCTGGTCCACACCTGGAAAAAAGGTGGAGGCATGAGAGCAAGAAGTGGTTGAAAGGTTAAGTCTGACTGGAGCAGAGGGTGTAGCCTGGAGTAAAATGAAAGAGGTCAGCATGGGGCTTAGGAAAAGGAAAGAAGGCAACAAATTCCATAGAGACTAGAGAAATCCATGTTTGATTAAGTACAAACAAATCCAGTACAAATGCATTGACTCTGATTTAAGGATGAAACAGAAATTACAAAAGTCATGAGTGGAAAAATGTTGTCAGATAAAAAAATCTTATTAAGGAGAGACTTTATTCAAGGATCATTTTAAGGGGCTATTATTAGAAGGGACTACTGCAATAGAAAGAACACTGTGCTTATAAGGTCTTCAAGAGAGTTAGGCAAAAAGAGTTTCTTTTATAGAGAAGTAGAGAAAGCTAGAAAGAATCAGGTGCGGGAAGCAGGATGAAAGGACTGGGTATAGGGTAATAGATCAGAGACAGTTTTATCCTAAGATCAGCCTCTTTTACAGGAAGGGCTGTATGCTGGCTCAGGCTGAGGGTGGGTCCAAGTTCAGGGGCCTGAAACAAGGAGAGAACCCAAGTTAACCTCACCAGCCATTTTGTTCTGCTTGATCAGGGGGCCAAGCAGTTCAGCTCACTGTTTATGAGGCAAAGGGAATCTGGACAGTGTGTGCCCTGTCACA